GTATCCTTGTTAATTTTTTGTCTAGAGGATCTATCCAGTGATGTCATTGGGGTGTTGAAGTCCCCTGCAATGCCTGTATTGCTATTGATTTCTCCTTGGAAGTCCTCCAGAATTTTTTAAAATGTATTTTGGGGCTCCTATATTGGGTGCATATATGTTTACCAATGTTATATCCTCTTGTTGAGTAGATCTTTTCAATATTATATAGTGGCCTTCTTTGTCTCTAGTCATGGCCTTCATTTTGAAGTCTTTTTCTTTTATTGGATATGAGTATTGCTACCCCCGTTTTTCTTTCCTTTCAACCTATGTGAGTCTTTTTTTTGTGAGGTGGGTCTCTTGTAAACAACAACCACATAAATAAATAAACACACACACACACACACACATATATACACACACATATATATATATGAGTCATGCTTTCTTATCCATTCAGCTACTCTGTGTCTTTTGATCAGTGCATTTAATCCATTTACATTTAAGGTTATTCTTGATATGTGCTTATTTATTACCATTTTTATTTATTTTGGTTATGTTTCTCTTCCTATTTCTTCTGCTTATTACAGCAGGCCTTTTAACATTTCTTGGAGTTCTGGTTTGGTGCTACTATATTCCCTAAGCCCTTTCCCTTTCCCTTCTTTCCCTTTCCCTTTCCCTTTCCCTTTCCATTTCCCTTTCCCTTTCCCTTTCCCTTTCCCTTTCCCTTTCCCTTTCCCTTTCCCTTTCCCTTCCCCTTCCCCTTCCCTTTCCTTTTTTCTTTTCTTTTTTTTGTCTGGGAAGCTCTTTATTTCACTTTCTATTTTGTTTTTTGTACTTTTTAATTAATTAATTTATTTTTGTTACAGATGTTTCTCTTTTTATCCCCACTGATTTCCCCTTCTTCTCCCTCCCCCCTGTCCCCAGCTTTTTCTTCATATCCATTGTTCATGCACACATGCATGTAAGTTCTGTGGCTTATCTCTCCCCCACCACCCCCTCTTCTGGAGATTGTCAGTCTGTACCCCACTTCCACATCTCTGGGACTACCCCATTCCTCAGACTGTTATGTTCATTATATTCCACAAATAAGTGAGATCATATGATACTTGTCTTTCTCTGTTTGGCTTGTTTTGCTTAGGATGATATATTTCAGGTCCCTCCATGTCGTCTCAAAGAATAAGAGATCTTTCTTTCTTACAGCTGCATAGTACTCCATTGTGTATATGTACCACAGCTTTTTTACCCATTTGTCTACTGATGGACATTTGGGCTGTTTCCAGATCTTAACTATTGTAAATAGTGCTGCTACAAACATGGGGGTACATATATTCTTCCTGATTGGTGTTTCAGGCTTCTTAGGGTATATTCCCAGAAGTGGGATCACTGGGTCAAATGGAAGTTCAATTTTTAATTTTTTGAGGTAACACCATATTGTTTGCCATAGTGGCTGCACCAGTCTGCATTACCACCAGCAGTGTACTAGAGTCCCCTTTTCTCCACACCCTCGTCAACTCTTGTTGTTTGATGATTTGTTGATGGCGGTCATTCTGACAGGTGTGAGGTGATACCTCATTGTTGTTTTAATTTGCATCTCTCTGATGATTAGTGATGTTCAGCATTTCTTCATATGTCTCTTAGCCATTTGTATGTCCTGTTTGGAGAGGTGTCTATTTAGTTCCTCTGCCCATTTTTTAATTGGGTTCTTTGTCTTCCTTTTATTGAGTTGTATGAGCACTCTATATATATTGGAAATTAAACCCTTATCTGATATATCATTGGCAATTATGCTCTCCCATACAGTGGGTTGCCTTTCCATTTTGATCATTGTATCTTTTGCTGTGCAGAAGCTTTTGAGTTTGATGTAGTCCCATGTGTTTATTTTCTCCTTTGTTTCTGTTGCCTTAGGTGATGTATCACTGAAAATTCTGCTGCGTATAATGTCCGAAATTTTGTTGCCTACATTTTCTTCTAGGATTTTTATGGATTCATGCGTCACATTTAAGTCTTTTATCCATTTTGAGTTTATTCTTATGTATGGTGTAAGTTGATGGGCTAGTTATATTTTTTTGCATGTAGCTGTCCAATTTTCCCAACACCATTTATTAAAGAGGCTGCCTTTACTCCACTGTATGCTCTTGCCCCCTTTGTCAAATATTAATTGAACATATTGCCTTGGGTCCATTTCTGGGTTCTCTGTTCTGTTCCACTGGTCTATATGCCTGTTCTTGTACCAGTACCAGGCTGTTTTGATTACAGTGGCTTTGTAGTATAACCTGAAATCTGGTAGTGTGATCCCTCCTACTTTGTTTTTCTTTTTCAAGATTGCTGTGGCTATTAGAGGTCTTTTTTGGTTCTATATGAACTTTTGAATTATTTGTTCTAGTTCTGTAAAGTATGTCGTTGGTATTTTGATGGGGATTGCATTGAATCTATAGATTGCTTTGGACATTCTAATGATATTAATTTTTCCAATCCATGAACAAGGTATGTGCTTCCACATTTTTATATCTTTCTCTATTTCTTTTTTCAATGACCTGTAGTTTTCTGCAAATAGTTCCTTTATTTCTTTGGTTAAGTTTATTCCTAGGTATCTTAATTTTTTGGCCACAATGGTAAATGGAATTGTTTTCTTAGTTTCTCTTTCTGTGTGTTCATCATTGGTGTTTAAAAATGCCATCGATTTCTTGATGTTAATTTTGTATCCTGCTACTTTGCCCAATTTATTTATTAAGTCTAGTAAATTTTTGATGGAGTCTTTGGGGTTTTCTATGTATCATATCATATCATCTGCGAATAATGACAGTTTCACTTCCTCCTTTCCAATTTAGATGCCTTTTATTTCTTCTTCTTGTCTGATCACTGTCACTAGGACCTCCTGCACTATGTTGAATATGAGTGGTAAAAGGGGACATCCCTGTCTTGTTCTTGATCTTAAGAAATATGCTTTTAGTTTTTGCCCATTGAACATGATGTTGACTGTAGGTTTGTTATATATGGCCTTTATTATGTTGAGGTATGATCTTTCTATTTCCACTTTGCTCGGGGTTTTTACAAAAAACTGAGTGCTGGATTCAGTCATAATTTTTCTGCATCTATTGATATGACCATATGATTTTTTTTTTTTTTTTAAATCCTCTTCCATGGATATTTTTCCATAGATTTTCATTTAGAGTTGGGGTAAGAAGGAAGAAAGGAAGGCAGGCAGGCAGGCAGGAAGGAAGGATGGAAGGGAGGGAGGGAGGGAGAGAGAGGATCATCAATGTGAGAGACACACATCAATTGGTTGCCTCCCACACAACCCCAACCGGGGCCAGGGATCGAACCACAACCAAGGTATGTGACCTTGAGAGGAATCAAAACCAAGACTCTTTGTTCCACAGGTCCATGCTCTAAGTGCTAAACCCAGCTGGACAGGGCTGATCATATGATTTTTATTCTTCATTTTGTATGTGGTGTATCACGTTTTAAGCTACTTGTTTTTTAACCTTACTCTTTCTTTAATTTTCCAGGTTAATATCATGCCAAATATCTCAGTAAAGATATCCTCAATAAATTAAGATTATTGCAAACAGGAGATGCCCAAATGATGATCAACAGAAGAATGGATAAACAGTGGAATACCACTTAGCAATTAAAATAACAAAATCTGCTGATACAGGCAACAACATGGATGAAATATTAAAAGAATTATGATGAATAAAAGAAGCCAAGTAAATAACCAGTGCATACTATTAGATTCTTTACACAAAATTTCAGAAAATGAAAACTAATCTCTAGTGACAGAAAACAGATCACTGGTTACTTGGAAACTGAGGAAAAGGGAGGCGGGAAGTAGCATTACAAAAGGGTATGAGAAAATTTTGGGGAGTGATGGATAGGCTCTGTGGCCTAGTGCCCTCGTTCCTGCCACCTGTGATTGCACAGAAGGCCTGCCCTGCAGGGGTCGCCGCTGAGGTGAGGGTGGTGGGCTGGTTGGGTGCGCAACGCTGGCCTGGCCAGATGGACCGAACAACCAACGATGAATTGACATGAGGATAGGCAGGAATGCAGGAGAAAAAGTACAAAGGGCGGAGCCAAAGCCTGCCCGGATAGGCTCTGTAGGGGGGGAGGGGGGAGCGGGTAGGGGGTGGGGGGGCAGGCGGTCCGGTTCCAAGAAACCCAGGTGGCAGCCCTGCCCACAAAGCCATGTATTGATTGTTTTATGGGTATGTATGTATATATGCATATGTCAAAATTGATCAAATTGTAATTTTTAAGTATGTGTAGCTTATTGTATGTTGATCACACCTTAATAAATCTGTTAGAAAAGAATATGGCAAACAATTAAAATTTAATATGGTCAAAAGCATGTCGTTCATATCCCCCATATCTGCATCTTTTCCTACTCCCTCATTTAATGATGTCATTACTTACCCAGTGTACTTAACCTGAAAAGTCAGAATCCTAAAATGTGCCTTCCCACTGACACCCAAACATACCTCAGTCTAACTCTGTGACATTCATTGGTATGTCCCCAAGGCTGTCCTTCCTGCCCCCATTCTAAGTCATTTATGAAGGCAAGGATTCAGGGATCTAGTACTCGGTTGAAAATAAAACAGTAGATACTCAAGTGTATCAAAAGAATACATCATCATCATCTGCTCTAGAAATCTATCTTCTGTTTTATGAAGGCAGAGACTCCATATTATTCATTCTGCATCCCAGGGCCCTGATTGGGTAACTATTCATTAAATAATTGAATGTACTACACTACAGTTTTATACCTTATTCTGAAACAAAGTTTAAATTTTGACTTACATACAAGATTATACTAAAGTATTAATATAATCAGAAAGATCAAAAATTTAAAACACCAAAATCTCAGAGACACTGATTTTATTAGGACCACCTAGGGGTTTTTAAAAATGGGGAATAGATATTTCCTCAAATGTAAGACAAGGCATTCAAATTCATGTAATATCAATTCATATACCAGTTATTTCAACACTAAACAGAACAGGGAGAATATTCAGCTATCTTACCCAGTCAGCATTTTTCAGCTCCTCCAGGTCTGTGTTAGACTCATCGCTCTTTTCCATTTCTTGAATCTTCTTAAGATTCTATCAGTTGAAGTAAAAATAATTGGCATAAATATTTAATTAAGCTGCCTTCTCAAATTAAAATTTCTAATGGATATCTTCAGATAAAATATAAACAAAAGCATTACTGAAGCAGACAGTACAGGTATCAGTTTCAACAGAATCACCAATTCTTCAAGGAAACCTTCCCTAAGCCCAATCTTCCTGCTATACAGTTTTATAGCACCATAAATCTTTCCTCTATAATTCTTATCAACACAAATTTTATATTAGTTTGTACCTTCCCTGTAAACTTTATAACTCAGATTTCTGTTCTCAGAAACTACAATAAGCATCAACACTTTTTGATACTTAACATATAGTTATCAAATAATTTAATTACAAAATTTCAATAGATAAAATGTCTTTTACTTATTTTAAATTTGATACCTGTATATATTGCAAAAGGGTTATCTCCATAATGTTAGTTCCATTTCCATCACCTCACATAATTATCTTTTTTTTTTATCCTCACTCGAGGACATATTTTTTCCATTTTTTGTTGAGATAGAGTGGAAAGGAGAGAAAGGAAGAAAGAGAGAGAGAGGGAAACATCGACATGAAAGGGACACATCGAGTGGTTGCCACCCACATGACCCAACCAGGGCCGGGGACAAACTGTAACTGAGGTATGTGCCCTTGGCGGGAACCGAACCCGCGTCTCTCTGGACTGCAGGCCAACGCTCTAACCACTGAGCCAAACTGGCCAGGGCATAATTATCTTTTTTTAAATGTTGAGAACATTTAAGAGCTATTCTCTTTGCAACTTTCAAATATATAATATAATATAATATTGCTAACTATAGTCACTATGATGTACATTAGAGATCCCCAATACTTATTAATCTTATAACTGGAAGTTTGTACCCTTTGAAAATGCATTAATTCAACATTTTCAATTTAAAAATAATCTTGATAGGTAAAACATATATTCACATATTAATTACAAATTTGTGTTACATCATTCCTACTCACAATTCAACTCTAATATATTTTGCTAAGCCTATTTGTCTAATTACATTTGGACTGAGTTTACATGCATTGTATGAAACCTAGCTTATTTTATATGAAAATAATGAATACTTAACATGAAATATTTCTTAACCATTTATTTTTATCTTTTCAACATCTCAGATTAACCATCAGCAAAATGAGAATAACATCACCTGCTTTTTTGTACTCAATAATACCTAGGAGTATTAATACAGAAATAATATTATTCTGACTTGAAGGTGTAAATAATGCAGTATTTCCTTTCTCTGTACAAAAGAAATTAAGAGGAAAAAAAGTATATTTAACTGTTTCAGGATGTGTTTCCATAATTATTTTTTTAAAGAAAAGTCACACTTCCTGCTTGGGGCTATGTAATAAGACACTTGCCACTCCTGAGTCATGGCCTTGGCTAAGTTTCCTCTTATTTATTTATTTATTTATTTATTTATTTATTTTTTAATCCTCACCTGAGGACACTTTTCCATTTTTTGTTCAGACAGAGTGGGAGGGAGAGAGAGGAAGAGAGTGAGAGAGAAACATCGACGTGAAAGGGACACATCGAGTGGCCACCACCCGCACGACCAACCAGGGCCGGGAACAAACTACAACCGAGGTACATGCCCTTAGCGGGAACCGAACCCAGGTGTCTCTGGACCGCAGGCCGACTCTCTAACCGCTGAGCCAAACCGGCCAGGGCTATTTATTTTTTTATTACAGATGTTTCTCCTTTTTAACCCCATTGGCACCCCTCTCCCCAAGGGTCTCAGACATGAGGTAAGAAGTATGGAAGGGTCATTAGACAATGAAGAGTGGTATTTTGGGAGCATAAGTGTCCTGATGCTGTCCCCAGTGGCTTAGATAATTCTTAGAAAATAGCTAAATAAAGTGCTACTTTATTTTTGCAAAAATAAATGTGTATGAATTGATTTATATTACACAAGGAACAATAATAGAATTGATAACTTGTAACTGTGCTTTGCAGATAATGGGTACTTAATATCTGGTGTGATATTGTGTCAAAATATCAGTAATAATCATTATTACTAAATTAGGACTCTCAGTTTTCTATTTTTAAAGATGTACCAGAAGTACTACTATATATAGTATTTCTGATATTCAAAATCCCTAATTCTTTGCTAAGAATTATTAGTTATCTTTTAACAAATCTCTGATTATATAAAACCTTAGTTTTCAACCCAAGTCCACACTTTTCAGGAAGTATCAAAGTCAGAATTGAGCAGAAAGGAGACCAAAAAGGAGAGGCACACATTGTTTATTGTGTTTCTCTGATGACTGGAACCCAGGCTCCATATCCCAAAGAATTAAAGAATATATTAGTCTATTGACTAGAAGAGTCTTCCTTGTAGTTTTTTTTTTTTTTTAAACAATTAAAATGGTGAAAGTCCCAGCCAGTATGGCTGTGGACTGAGCATTCAGCCAAGGACTGGGAGGTCCAGATAGATTCCTGGTCAGGGCACATGCAGGCTTGATCCCCAGGAGGGGGCATGCAGGAGGCAGCTGATTGAAGTTTCTCACATTGATGTTTCTATCTCTCCCTTCCACTCTCTCTAAAAACCAATAAAAACACATTTAAAATAAAATGGTGAAAGAAAAGGGGGTTAGGAGGTGAACTGCCTCTGGGCACACTGGGACTCTATCAAACTGTGAAGTCTATTAGCAGCCATACTCTCCACTCCCCTAGCTCCAAAATGAGAGCTGAGAATAAGTACCTCACCTTTATTTCTTCACATTCTAGCTTTAGGGCATTCACACTGGCTATTCTCTTTTCCTATAATGCTTTACCCAACTATCCACATACCTAATTCCCACACATCCTTCTCATTCTTAAGCAAATGTCACTTCTTAATGTGGCCTACCCTGCCCATCCTATATAAATGCCCAGTTCTACCTCTTTTTCAAAACCTCATCCTGCCTTCTAACAGTCCATTTGACTTACTTAATGTTTACTGCCAGCCTCTCCCTTCTAGACTGTAAGCTTCATGCAGAATTTTGGTATAATAACTCTTTGATGGACTCCTTAAATCTCTAGAACAGTGCTTTGCACTTAGGAGGTGCTGAGAAAATATTTGTTAAATAAGTGAATTAAGACACTTTCAAACAAGAATGTTCAAACACTTAAATTTATTCAATAGTTCTTATCAACAAATTTAATAAGAGGAAGCTCAACCAAAGGGAAATTGCTCTAAGGAATGCACCCCCTAGAGCCACGGTTCTCAACCTGTGGGTCGCAACCCCTTTGGGGGTCGAACGACCCTTTCACAGGGGTTACCTAAGACCACTGGAAAACACATATTTCCGATGGTCTTGGGAACCAAGACACCGCTCCTCTATTCATCTCCAGGAGGGTCCGCCCACATGCAGATACCCCCACATACAACATGAGGAGCTGTATTAAAGGGTCATGGCATTAGGAAGAACCACTGCCCTAGAGTATGAGTAGGGCTGAGCCCATGTTTAATACCTCATCACTTACTCACAAGGACGAGGATACCATCTCCCCAGTCACAGTGACTGGTCCAGAGTGAGCACATAACTCCTTATCTTCCCTCCAAGACTTTTTTGCCCCTGTTAACAGAAAAGACTTTCTGTTTCAGCTACTGAACTGAGAACATATGACATTTGGGCTGTCTTTAAGAGCCCATCCTGGGGATGGAAAAAGAAAGCCAGCCCTGATTACAGGGCTTGAGATACTAGATCTAGCTGTGCCTAAAGCTAGCAGTACCCTTAAATTTCCCAATCGTGGGAGCCAATAAATTCTGCCCCACTCCACCCATGCTAATCTGAGTGTACTGTCACTTGCAATGGAAACAGTTCAGATTTAACATGTCCTCTTAGTCCAGAAATATGAGTTCATTCTTCTTTGTCTTAGGTGTACTCTGGTGGAATAATGGTATGAGAAACATACAGATTCTTTTCTGTCCAACCTTAATTTTTACTATTCGCCAACATACCCCTGACTAAATGTAGTAGGATGGTCTCATTGTTATGCCTTTACACATCTCTACTTTTACTTGTGCTGTGATAAAATCCCTAACTCTCTGCTACTACAAAAAACTGTCCGTTTTTTATAATACAGAAGATAATTTCAATGAATGGTCCAAGAATTGCATGTTTCCTTTTTTTTCTAAACAGTAGCGTAAATTGTACCTCGGATACTTCCTAGCTGTGTGACTGTGAACAAGTTATTAAACTGGTCTAGTCCTCAGTCTGATTTCTTTCATCTGTAAAATGCAGATATAAGTACCTTTAGGATTTCATTAATATTACATAAAATAATACAGGGGAAATATAGCATGCAGCTGCCTAATATTAAGCATATAGTAGGTATTAACTTCATAAGTCAATGAATATCTATGAGGATTTGATTGTGAACACTTTTACTCCATCCCCAAAACATTGTATTCTTTTTACCAAATAAGATCTCTCTATAGCTTCTTCATGAAATAAAATCCTGATTCAGCAATAAATCAATATAATATAGTTAAGAATCTGTAAGAACTATAATTGTGCAACTAGAAATCTCACATTTTCTTGTTAGCAGCAAAAACAAGTCATTTGAAAGTAAATTATAGATTTTTCTAATTTTAGAAATAAGCTTACAGTCTAGAAGGGAGAGGCTGGCAGTAAACATTAAGTAAGTCAAATGGACTGTTAGAAGGCAGGATGAGGTTTTGAAAAAGAGGTAGAACTGGGCATTTATATAGGATGGGCAGGATAGGCCACATTGAGAAGTGACATTTGCTTAAGAATGAGAAGAATGTGTGGGAATTATATTCTAGCTTCTGAATAAATGGTTTTTGCTTGCACAAATGTAATAACAGATGCCAACTTGTGCTTGGAATTTGGTGAGAAAGTTCTAATTGAGAGCACCCATATGGCAATTCAATTAACTTACCCTATTTCTAACATAACCAGTCTCAAGCTAGCAATTAGAACTGCTCTATGCCAGTATTTTCAGTTCCTGGCAT